ATCTTTTCCATCGTTGCACGCACTTTTTTACTTATTCAAAGAACGACAAAATCTTTTATCATTAAAACTTTATGATTTATGCTAAATTTTTGCATCAATAATACTAAAAATAAATTTATTTTCCTTTTTTTTAATTGAGAAATCTCTTGCTAATCTCATTGAACTCTATAAAACCTAAATATTTTTTTGTCTGAAATTGATAAATTATAGTTGAAAAAAACTAAGACTACTCCCTCGTTGTATAACTTATAATATATATGTTTTTATTTGATGCTAGAAAAAACAAAAAAATAAAACATCGATTGGGATCACAAGTGAAATTAAATAATGCAAAATAATAAACTATAGTTAACATCCATGGATACGAGATAACATTTTGAAACATGACAAAGTAACGAGTTGATGTAAAGTACTCGTCATAATCATTATAAATATTACTAGTTTATTTAATATATTAAGATCTCCATATTAGGTATAAATGTAAAAAGAACAAACAAGTAGTAGATACCCGAAGTATTTTTTTCTTCGTGATTGATATCATAAAATAAACTTATGCCAACTATGAAAACATAGAGAAAATAATAAAAATAGGGCATTCTACTTATTAGCCGCCATTATTAATTTGTGTGTGTGCATAATGAATAGTTGTGCACGATATTTATTACGATAATCATGATTAATATAACAGTGCAAAGATCCACTGATATTTAAAAGCGCTGGAAGGATTTGTGTATTTTTAATTTCAATATTCTTAAAATACTAAATTATTTTTTGTTACAAAAAATAACATATTATACGAACACAAAGTTTTTAATAAATTTATTAAAGTAATTATGTAAATAAATATTGTGATGTAATATGCTCTCTTTTATAGTACATATTTTCGAGTTTTTTTAATCTTTTTGAGTTAATATTTTAATTTAAAACTAATAAAATATAAAATTAAAACTAAAAATTATGTGTTATTTTTTATTTTTTCAATTTAATTTGACTTATTTTAATCTAAATTTTGGAATCAAATCGAACAATTCAATTTGATTTTTTGGTTTGGAGAGCGACCAAATAATCTAGTTTCGATTTTTTGGTTGGAAATAGAACCGAACCGTTCAATCTAAAGTTTACTTTGTTAGGTTTAGATAGAAAATTTGCATACTAATAATGGGAAAAAATAAATAAATAAAAACAATGTAAAAATCAGAAAAAATAATGTAAGGCTGAGGAGTCGAACCCATCAGCTCTAGTGCAAAAGACAACTGTGATTGCCAATTACACCACCCGGCAAAAATGTCTTTTTGCATTGCCAACATCTTGGAAATTAAATATTATTGTGTGTTCTTTAACTGTCACGAAGCGAGAAATTTGACGAGGAAATAGAAAAACCGCGGAAAGGAAATTGCAGGACCCATCGAATTGCAGCTGAGAAGAGAGGGGAAATCATCGTCTTCGATTCGTCGTCCCGTATCTTTACCATGGACGCGCACCACGCATCTCTAGGTCGACGAACGGTATAAATGTCATCACCATCTCTATCTTTTTCCTCTCAATGTCTCACTAAAAATATATATCATTTTGATTTCATTATTCTCCGTACAATCTCATCATGGAAAGCCCGTGTTTTTTGTTTCTCTAAATTTTATCCGATTCTTTGGTTATAATTTTTGCAGTTGGAGGAAATCCGCCAAAAGAGAGCGGCTGAGAGATTGGGCAAGGCCGCTTCGGGACCGGATCTGACCAAAGCTTCAATCCCTAATGGTATCGTCTTCTTAATTTAACAATCACTTTTTTTTTTTTTCTTTACCAGTTTCGTTATCTTCTTTCAAAAATGATTTTGGAGAAAAAAAGATTACTTATTTGATTATTATTATTTTTTTATTTTTGATTGTTTGTGACTGTTTTGATAATTCTTCTCATTCTTTTTTTCTCGTCAGATGATGAAGGATTTAAAAAATCAGAGAGTGGAAATCGACTGTCTGAGGTGCATTTGTTGTTCTATCTTTTGTTTGCACTTTGTGAACAATTTCATGCATGGTTCCGATGAATGAAGTTCCAAATTGGTTAAACTAGAAGTCAGTTAAACGAAAATATAGAGTCTGATTTTTTCTGCAGTATCTGTTTGTTGTTGAGATAATCATGGAAAGCTAAGGTTTTATAGTTTCCAGCATGCTGATTTGCTTTATGGGAAGGAAGGGAAAAGTAGTGCTACGTTCAGCCTAATATTAGCTTGAAATGCAAATAACACTTGAATTTTTATTTATTTTTCAATATTGGTATAGCATCCTTCAAAATAGATTAGGTTTAAAGAGAACTTCTTGTTTTGGATGGCAATGCATGTTCTGTTGGTAGTCTAAGATTGTATTCTCATACTGCCTAGTCATCAATGCAGACAGACATTAGTGGTTTAGTAGCTCAGCTGAAAGAACTGCTGAAGAAGAATTCGGAATTAGAGGAGGATAACAAACTATTATCCTCAAAGGTATTTTCATCAAATTATTCTGTTTTGACGGTTTTGCTTGTACAGGTAGCACCTTGGGAAGCTTTCTATTAATATTTGTCATGCTGAAAAATCTGTTATCTTTTGGCTTCAGCTTCAAACAAAGGAAGACGAAAACAAAACACTTCAGACACGCTTAAATGAGCTGGTGAGTTAATGAACTTTAATCTCCCTTAGTGGTTTGACTGAAAATTTAAATAATAACTCGATTCTGGATCTACATTATTTGGAGGAAAAAGGACAGTAATGAAAGTTTTACAGAACCTAGCTTCTTTTTTCCACTTCCTCATCTTTTCCTGCTATATGCTATTTGTTTGACAGTCCTTTTATTGCCTTGATCAGTTAAGTATGCACCTAGAGAAGGCACCATTGGACGAAGAAGCTTTTACATTATTTGTTTATTTCATTTTATGTTCATGTAAAATGGTATACAGGATCCAGAATTTAATAAATAATCTATAGCATTGAGCCGGATAGGTCATATGTTATTATTAACATTGGAAGGTTTATGTTGTAAGTCTTGATGCATTTCTTTAGCTTCCATTAGTTGTATCTGATGAGTAGATGTTCTTGCGTGCGTACAGTATCTATGCTTATCTATGAAGCTTAATCTGATTTCTTTATTTTCTTGGTAAAATTGCACTTGCAGGAACAGACCACTTTACCATCTCTGAGGAAAGCTTTAAAGGAAGTTGCTATGGAGAAAGATGCAGCTGTTGTCTTACGGGTGTGGATAGTTCAGATGATATTATGATTCTTTTATGTTGATTTTGATTCTGTGAATTGTCCTCAAAGTCTGGTACTTTAGTGTAGGAGGACCTTTCAGCACAACTTCGCACTCTCAAGAAACGTATGAAGGAAGCAGAAGAAGAACAATATCGAGTAAGCAAGCTATTCCACTTTTTATGTGCTATCATGGCTTAACTGTTTTTACGTTATTGTATTTGTCTGGTGATAGGCTGAGGAAGATGCAGCAGCCTTGAGAGCAGAACTAAATTCAATACAACAACAAGCAATGAGTGGTCTGCATAGTGGAATTTCTTCTCCAGGAGTTTCGCTAGATCAAATACAAAATTTGGAAAATGAGTTGGCTGGTTTAAAGTCCCAATTACAGGTGAGAATCTGTCAGGATTTATCATTTTCCTAAATGAATTGTTTGTATGAGTGTCTCACAGTGATGCAAAATTTGCAGCAAGAGTCAATATTAAGAAGGCAGGAGCAACAAATTTTAATGGAGGAGCAAGCTCGGGCTTCTGCTCTCATGTCAGAAAAGCAAGAATTGGAACAGAAACTTGCAGCTATGTCCAGGAGGGCCTCTGGTACCAACTCAAAATGTTTAATCTTAACGATAAGCTGTTCTATAAGATATTCTTGGGCTTTCAAATGTTCATTTTGATGATATGTTCATGTGCTAAAAGTTAGTAGCAAATTTTTTTCTTGCCATGTCACAGGACATTGAGCAAAAGATACATAGTTTTCCATTTGGTTCTCGAAGCCAAGATACACATAATCTTTCCTTATCTTGGATTTCACTCGTTGCAGGATGCATAGACGTTTAAAATTCATATTTTGGTTGCTTTGAGCATTCTTTGGAATACTTCTTATTTGGCTTTATCCAGATTCGCATTTCCCCATAAATTGCAGTGCCTGCATGTCTTCTGTTCTATCAGTGATGATGTAGAATTTTAATATAGTGGCATTTGTTTTTTTGTTGTTATTCTCATTTCCAATTATGAATGTAAGAGGAAAAAAACATCACTTGCTTTTTATTGCAATGCAGAAGAAGTCACAGAAAAAATGACTCATAAGGCATATTCAGTGGTAAGTATCTTCTCTAGTCAATATTGTAGTGGTTCAATAACTACCTTTCTTGTCCTGTTAAATGGTTTTCTAATCTCTGTCAATATATCACTCAGGTGCAACTATAAATCAGCTGTTCCCCTAAAAGAAAAAATTGTTAAATTAATCATCTATTTAAACCTGTTTTTGAACTATTGGATTTTAAGCTGTTGATAGACATAATACGATATCCAGTTGGCAGTTAAATAGGAGGGATGAAATAGAAGCATTTTTGCATTAAATCCATACAACGTATTTGTAATATTTCAGTTATTTGCCCCTGCATTTCTTTTATAGCTGTCTCTTGCTTAATCATAATTGCAACTCGTGGGTTTCGTGGGTTTCATGGATTATTTTCTGGAGGTTTTTCCTTAAAGGGAAAAAATCTATTTTTCTGCCCTGCAGGAAGACAAAGAGAAATTTGAGAAACAGTTACATGACATGGCTTTTGCGATTGAGAGATTGGAAAGTAGTAGGCAAAAACTTCTAATTGAGGTACAGTCTTTGGCTTGGTTGATTTTCAATTACGTAGGTTGAAAACCTGCATGTTTTTCGTGCAGATTGAAAGTTGATTTTATCTTAATGGCAGATTGATAGTCAATCATCAGAAATAGAGAGGCTTTTTGAGGAAAATACGAATCTATCTTCTTCTTATCAAGAGGCAATCGGCATAGCCAAGCACTGGGAGAATCAGGCAATCTTCAGTCAATAAACTAGTGAAGAATTTACTAGATCATACTGCCATCCGGGAGTTGATTATGTATTAATAGTAACAGCTATATTTATGCTGTCAACTCTGCAGGTGAAAGACTGTCTTAAACAAAATGAAGAGCTCCGTGAAATCCTAGATAAGTTGAGAACAGAACAGGCTAGTTTACTGTCTACGAACACTCAGAAGATCATGAGAGGCCTGGCGGTAAATGAAACCAATTCACAATCATATGCAACTGAAATCTTGTCTCTCAAGGTTGGTACAACAGAAAAGGGTTCTTGTAGGTGTATGATACACAGGAAAAGTTTGAATTATGAAATTTTCTTATGAAACTAAGCCTCTGAATGTCACATGACCTCCCAAGATTTCATCTGTTTAAATTAACTTATTGCTCCTCCAATTTTGATTTTTACCCCTTCCATGCTTCTTTTGTGCCTTTGCCATGGAGAATCATGTTACATCTGAGAATCACTATTTGTTTTTGTATTAGTAGCCTAATGATCCCAAGATTTGATAGGGCCAACTTGCAAAAGAACAGAGCAGAGCTGAAGAGTTATCTGCCCAAGTTATGCATCTATCTGCTCAGGTCCAACAAACAACACAAGCATATAGTGGTCTTGCTCGCATGTAAGACAGTTTCTTTTCTCTTCTTTTTCTTTATTGTTGTTATTTTCTCTTATGATATTAAAATTATCACTACTTGTAGCTGATTCCATTCAAATTTGCAGCTATAAACCCATTCTACGAAACATTGAAAGCAATCTTATCAAGATGAAGCAAGATGGTATTGTGACCGTGCAGTGAATGTTGGGAGACACTTTCAATTTTGTAATTTGTATAAATACTATGTCAAAACATGTAAGCTTTTCTATACTTGGTATTCATTACAAGCCAATTCTTAAAACTAATGACTTGAGTAGAGAAGAGGGTTAAACTTGGGGTTCAACTTCAACTCTTATACCATAGTTTGAAGATTACATGTTACTCCTGTGTTTGCATATAATGATTTCTCATCTCTGTGAACATTCAGTGAAATCTTCTTCTAATTTTTGTTTTTAGTCGATGTCCCTCATGCTCTAATTTTATGGTGTCAATAGGATCAACTAGATACCGGTATGGCATTGTTAGAATACCATACATGGCCCTCTAATTCAGTAGATAACAATACCTTGGCACCAGATACAAATACAATAAGCCATCTCTTACATAAATTTATTAATCATCACTTACACTAATTTATTAAACATAATTTACATTGATTATTCATAATTGAATAGCTTTTACTTTTACTATCGCATGTTTATGATGCACCTAAACACAGCTAATTTAAATTTGAGTCAATTTAAATTAAAAATAAGTGTTTGTTTTCTTTGGCAAAAATGTGTAATTGTTTGTTTCAGCTTATGTGTAACTAATGACTTTAGTGACTACCTCACTGAGTGGTTTAAGTGAAAAAGATGATTGAACTGAGGACTTGATGAGTTAAAAATTCTCAAAGAGCTGACTGGATTACAAAAGTAAATCAAAGAGCTTAAATGGAGAAAGAAACTAAAATCCTTTTAAGCAATATTGAATGATAAGTATACATGTAAGTATTCCTCAATTTGAAAAGCAAAAATAATAATAACCATAGTAACTGTGTTTCTTCAAACAAAGTTGGATTGCTGTACACCGTCTGCAATGGCTTATGCTTTCATGTCTAATTCAAAAAGAAAAAAAAAAAGGTGAGGGGGAGTGAGGAGGGTAACTACCAATAATCCCCACAAGAACAATCTCCATCCTTGAAATGGTGAAATCTATTCACATCTCTGACCAGAATCTCTTTGTTCGCAAACCTGGAGACGAATTTTGTAAATGAGTGACAGTCTTCACATAGCCTCAAATTCTTGGTGATTCGAACAGCTTCCCCGTAATTGGTATTAATGAGTCCAAAACTAACGGCAAGTTTCTCACTATGACCTAATAGAATTCGTTCCTTCTCTTCTTCATCTAGATCATAGAGAACTACTTTTGTCTGTCGGACGTAACCCTTCTCTTTCATCTCTTTGGACAGTTTGATTAACAAAGCATGAACCTGCTCGATTTGTGGTTTAAACTCGTCGACAGAAACAAAAGAGTACATCTTCCTTTTAACTTCTATCCAACTTCTACCAGGGACTTTTTGCAGTTTTGGAGCTTCAAGTAGCTTCCTCATTCTTTTTACCTCATCCCACATCTGAGCTTCTGCATAAATGTCAGCTAAAAGTACATAATTCCCAGCATTGGTTGGCTCAAGCTCAAACAGCCTGCTACTTGCTCTCTCTGCCAACTCCACAATACAATGAATTCTACATGCTCCTAATAACGAACCCCAAACCTTTGGTCCTGGTTCTATCCGCATATCTTCAATAATCTTAGCTGCTTCATCAAACCTATTGGCTCGTCCAAGAAGATCAACCATACAAGCATAGTGCTCAACACCCGGACGTATCCTATGCTCTTTCCACATTGAATCAAACAACCTCTTCCCTTCATCGACAAGTCCAGCATGACTACAGGCTCCCAAAACACTGACAAACGTTACAGTGCTAGGTGAAACTCCATGATATAGCATATCTTTGAAAATTTGGATTGCTTTCATTCCAAATCCATGAATACCATAGCTTGATATCAAGGAATTCCACGACACTACATCCTTCTTATCCACCTGATTGAAAATTCGTTGCGCCACTTCGAGCTTGCCACATCTAGCATACATTGTCATAAGGGCACTAGTAACTGGCAAAATCGAATCAAGACCTCTTCTAAGCACATATCCATGTATCAGCTTCCCTTGCTCCAATGCGGCAAGTGCTGCACAAGCTTGAAGCACACTAACCATTGTCACTGAATTTGGAAAGGAATCATGAGTCTGAAGCATCATTTCATGAAAAAGCTCCAGAGCTTCATAAGGCTTCCCATTCTTGGCATAACACGCAATCATGGCGCTCCAAGAAACCACATTTTTTACTGGCATTGCACTGAACACACGGCTAGCATAATCCACGCACCCAAACCTCGCATACATATCCACCAAAGTAGTCATAATATGAACCCGTGAGTCACAACCATCTCGCAAAATTCGGGCATGAATCTCTTTCCCCTTCTTCAAAAGCGAAATCAGACACTCCGACGCAACACAAGCCTTAAGCACGTACGTGTAAGTGAACCTATCCGACGGGATTCCTATCTTATTCATCCTCCTATATAAATCCAACACCTCTTCTCCACGACCAGCAAGCGTAAGCGCTCTAAACAGCGCATTCCAAACGTATATAGTTCTGTTACGAGTTTTGTCGAACACCTTCCGGACATTATCAATGGAGTCCAATTCAGAGTACATCGCGATGAGTTTTGTCGCCAGGAAAGGATCTTGGTCGAACCCATTATTGACAAGATGGTCGTGAACGCTTTCGGCATCGGGGAGGGAGTTTTTGTGGCCACAAGACAGGATTAGGAGTTCGTAGGTATGTTGGGTCGGGTTGGGTTCATGAGACAGGACCTTAAGTGCTTGTTTAAGATTACCTTGTTTGCACAGAGATTGAATTAGCCGGTTGTTGTTGGTGTTCGTCGTAGTAGCCGATGGTTTTATGGTGAAAGAACATGCCGGAGGTTTTGGGGGAGTTCGAGGTGTGAAGTGAGTCGTGTATTGAGGTAACTGGACGGATTGAGGGAACTGAAACACCCACATGAAGGAAGAAAACTGTGATTTTAATTCAGGAAGACAATTAAGTTCCGTGCTTCTGA